CACAGCCTTAACCATGTACATCAACACCAATTATAGTATTAACGGAAAGCTTAAACAATATTCCTTATGCATTTCATCGTTATTTGGTAAACCAAAAAAAAAAAAAATTCAACGGCCTGATTATTTCAGAATGCTTTATATTTAACATGCTATTCCAAATTTCCCCTCAAGTGTTGATATACAACTAACAGAATTTTTTTGATATTGTTTTATATCCTCTCTTTCTCTCTCTCTCTCTCTGTGTGTGCATGGTTTTTTATTCCACTTATCCTGTCAACAGCTAAAATTGAAATTTTCTGGGGGGAAAAAATGAAAAAATAAAAAAAAACCTTACTGTGGGTGCAATAATTTTATACAGTCAAGAGAGAGAGAAAGAGAGAGAGAAAGAGAGAGAGAGAGGAAGCCATTATTTAATGACCACTGAGAACTGGCATGCAATGTACCTAATTATTAAATTATGATGATTTTAATTGGAGTGATGAATCATGAAAAACAGTCTTAATTAAAACCCTTTGATTAGTGTTGTCATAAAAGGGATGAAGTGCAGATTGATTTTCAATTTATTAATTCTGAAAATCTGTATAAATTTGTAAAAGATCAATTAAATTGAAATAGTGACTTATCCCTATTTCACAACTTTGAAAATATATTGGAGAATTTTGCCTGCAGGAATATTCTCACACCTTTCAGAGTTTCAGTCTATATGATGATATACCCGGTATATACATATATTCAAGAATATATTTCCACACAGACTGATCATTACACGAGCCATTTCCTGTTTACTATATCCTGCATTTGTGTATACATAGCTGGTTTCAGAGTAACTAGCTAATCTAAATTTTGTTTTTAAGTTTTCCTAGTAAAAAGCACATTTCAAAGTGTTCATTGATGAAAATACAAAATAAATAAATAAACAAAAAAAAAAATAAAAAATTAACTTTTTTTTTGTAATTTTACCAATTGATAATTATTGTGTTATTGCCATTGAAAACAGTCGTTGACATATTGATAAATTTCCAAATACTAATAAATGTCTCTGACGTAAGGCTTCATGGTTTGCTCATTCAAAATCGGTTGCAACTTATTTTCATAAATAAGAATTCATACATGTATTATTCAACTTCTTCATATATTTCTTATTAAACAGATTAAAATGTACTGTATCTTCATGGAATACTTTTCCTGACCAACATTTCTTTTTAATTTTACCAAATTAATTTGTGAATGCCTACATAAAATATAAGACCTTTTCTATTAAAATGTTCTTACTGGTGCAGATTATAACCACTTAAAACAGAGTTGAGACTTAAAATTATAAATTGTAAGAGAACTGAAATTTACATAGGGAGAATCCATCATCATGTTATACTCAATCAATCGTACTAGTGTGTTCTCTTAACTGGCCATTTAACTTTCTTATTTTTCAATGAAATTTGGCAAGTATGGTTTTATTTTTCTTGTAAAAGTATGGTCTTTCTTAATCTAAAATGATAAATTGTAAAACTAAAAGAGAACATAAATTTATATAGGGAGAATCCATCATCATGTTTTACACAGTCAATCGTACTAGTGTGTTCCCTTTGCTGGCCATAACTTTTTCATATTTCAATGAAATTTGGCAAGTATGGTTTTATTTTTCTTGTAAAAGTATGGTCTTTCTTAATCTAAAATGATAAATTGTAAAACTAAAAGAGAACATCAATTTATATAGGAAGAATCCATCATCATGTTATACACATCAGTCAATCATACTAGAAATGTGTGTTCTGTTAACTGGCCATCTAACTTTTGTGTTCTCTTAACTAGCCATTTAACTTTCTTATTTTTCAATGAAATTTGGCAAGTATGGTTTTATTTTTCTTGCAATGGCATAAACTTTCTAAATCTTACATGATAATTTGTAAAAGAACTGAAATTTACATGGGGAGAATCCATCATCATGTCATATTCAGTCAATCGTACAGGTGTGTTATCTAAACTGGCCATTTAACTTTCTTATTTTTCAATGAAATTTGGCAAGTATGGTTTTATTTTTCTTGCAATGGCATAAACTTTCTAAATCTTACATGATAATTTGTAAAAGAACTGAAATTTACATGGGGAGGATCCATCATCATGTCATATTCAGTCAATCGTACAGGTGTGTTCTCTAAACTGGCCATTTAACTTTTTTATTTTTCAATGAAACTTGGCAAGTATGGTTTTATTTTTCTGGCAATGGCATAAACTTTCTTAATCTTAAATGATTATTTGTAAAAGAACTGAAATTTACATGGGGAGGATCCATCATCATGTCATATTCAGTCAATCGTACAGGTGTGTTCTCTAAACTGGCCATTTAACTTTCTTATTTTTCAATGAAACTTGGCAAGTATGGTTTTATTTTTCTTGCAATGGCATAATCTTTCTAAATCTTACATGATGATTTGTAAGAAAACTGAAATGTACATGGGGAGAATCCATCACCAGGTTATATTCAGTCGATCGTACCAGTGTGTTGACTCTTAAATGGTCATAAGTTTTTCCTTTTCAATGAAATTTGGCATTAGTATTGTTTTATTTTTCTTGTAAAAGCATGAACTTTCTAAATCAAAAATTATAAATTGCAATATAAGGACTGAAAATTTCCCAGGAAGATTATCCTCAAACAGTCATATATACTGGTGAGTTCTCATAAAGGCAGTTTATAGTATGATATAATATTTTTTTTTTAATGGATAGGGGTGTTTTTAAACCTTAAAAAATTATTCAATATTTTAATACTTTTTACTACTTATTTTAAAAGTATCAAAATCCCTAACACAGGTAAAGTTTGACACCTAGGGTATTCCACTGTGTATCCATTCAGGTAGACTGCTAGCTCCAAGGTATTCACACCTGTATAAAATTAGCCCCTCCCTCACCTTGAATAAAAATACTACCTGGTAAAAATTCTCTGTCTTTAGATGACCATATCTTTTTTTTTTTTTTTTTTTTTTTTTTTTTTTATACTTTTCAATGATATTTAGCCAATTTGGAATAAATTTCTTGTATTTAGTAATTCTAACTTTTTCAAAGTATTTGTTTATATATTTTTTTTGAAATATTCAAGGAAATTACTACAATTTTAAAATCTGTACTTTGTCATGATTAATGTAATGATCATTCAAACATATAATCAGGTAATAATTGGTCCTATTTGCATGTTATATGCAATATAACACTTTTATAATTAAATCATAAAAAAGAGATGAAAGAAGACGAACTGGTTTTTTAATTACTTTAAAGAAAGCATTTTTCTGGTTTAGGATTGAGAAGCTACTACATTTACAGATTATTTAGAATGGAATATAATGGGATTTATTCCCAAATCAGGGCCAGTGGACATAAACATCTATAACTATTTTATACTTACCTTTTGTCAATATAGCGTTAAAACAAATTCCGGATAAATTTAACAGTTTAGTCTTTGAATTTTACGCTATTTGTCAGAGTCACCCATACGTTTCTCAGAGTACGACTTATACATAGGGAAAGAAAAAGATGTGGGTGACAATGGTGCCAAAACAAGAGGAATTATATAAAATAAAATAAAATCAGTTATAAAAAACACCGATGATTATGGGTTCCGTTAACCCCATGGGGTGAAAGAACTTTAAAGAAAAATCGATTAATTGCAGCTTTTAAAAATTGAAACATAAAGGTAATGTCCATTCCGAAGTTGTCCGTATCAGTTTAGAATTTCTTACAAACTTATTTATTTATTTATATATTTTTTATTTCCTTCAAACACACTAATATTCGTGTGTTAATTTCCGAATGTGTGGCCTCTTATGACGTGATACATTAATAAAGGTATCCATCCAACGAAATGTTCTTTCACCTGTCCAGTAATCATGTGTATGATGTTTATTTATAGACTAAAATTCACTTTTCAATAAAAGCTCACAGCAGTTTCTATCCGGTATATTTCGCGAAGTATCACAAGTTATGATTTGATTTGGTCTCTTTCAATCAATTTCAAAAACATTCTTTGAATAGTAGAAAAGTTTTTGTCTTTGTTTGAATCAAGTCCATTATGCTACAAACAGCAGAGCTCAAACTAAACTACATGTAAGTAGAACATGTGTATCATTACTATGTGATTCACGATCAACAGGTTACAGGACTGAGGAGTCGGCAATTTTATCAGTAAAATAGTGAAAACAATAACCTGTGAGCTACGCTAGCGTAAACAAAGTCACGTTATTTTTTACATTGTTTTTCTGATAAAATTGCCTGTACTGCCTCCAGTGTCTTTTTTATATTTAACTCTCTCCCACTTGGAATATTAGATAAACTTTCAAACTTTTAATCCGTATTTGTTTACTTTTTCACTTACGGGTCAGTCAAAAAAAAAATATAATTTATTTCTCTTCTTATCAAGCTTATGCCATGTCAAATTTACATATGCAGTGATAAAAGGTATTATAGTATACTATATCAATGAATTTGAAAAAAAATTTAATTAAATTGTTACAAAGTTGATAAAAAATGTACACAACTCCAAACAATATTTATTTTATAATTCTTACTTGATAATTTACCATGATTACAAGCATTAAGAGAAATAATGTGGGTTTTTTTACCCCACATAAAAAATTATGGGATAATAAACCCCACATTTTATTTTTAGTGAGACGTGGGTTAAAAAACCCCACGAAAAATAATATGGGTTATTTAACCCCATGGGGTGAAAAATAAACCCCATGGGGTTTTTGTGGGGTTTTTTGTGGGGTATTTTTAAGTTCATGTTTCCCCATGGGATTTTTTTTTTGAACTCAAATATCTCAAAAAGTAGCAGAAAATGTTGAATTTTTTTTTTCATAGACATGAAATATCTACAAGTTGGCAAAGGAAGCACCACCCAGACAAGAACCCAGAGGCTAGAAAAGGTAAATTATGACAAATCAATTTGATTATAAAAACCCCACCATTTAAAAAAAAACCTAAGATGTTAGCTTTAAAGGAAAAGGGGACATTTTTGGTGACCTGTTTGGAGGAATCTTTGGCGGGGGAGGAGGACCTTTTGGAATGGGGGGTATGGGTGGTCGGCGAGGCAGGCGCCGGGGAGAGGATACTCATCATCCACTCAGGTAAAATGTAAACAAAGAAAACAAACATTGAGGTAGGGAGTAAACTCACAGGTATGGGGGGCCAGAGAGGCAGTGGCCGGGGGGAGTATTCTCATCATCCACTCAGGTAAAAAGTAAACAGAGAAAATAAACACAGGTAGGAAGTAAACACACAGGACACACAAATACCACATACATTGCACCCTGAACAGAAGCTATCAACTTCAAAATCTCAAACTATTTTTTTTTTATTTAGATAGAGAACATGGCAAATACTTTTGATCTTCCTTATTTCATTGTTTTTTGCATAACATGAGATCAAATTACTTGGGTAATATGGAATAAAAACTCCTTTCTTATATTGCTTGAAATAATTTTGATTGAAAGTGTCTAAATTGTTTGCTTTCATCCTTGCATTCAGTTATTAACTTTATCTTGAATTTATGTAAAACGTTTTCTTCAAATGGCCCATTCATTGTTTAAATAAGTATTTCTCCTGATTTTGTTTCAGAGTGTCACTAGAGGATCTGTACAATGGAAAAACAGCCAAATTACAGCTTAGTAAAACAATCATCTGTTCCAAGTGTAAAGGGTAAGTCTGGAAAAACAGCCAAATTACAGCTCAGTAAAACAATATCTGTTCCAAATGTAAAGGGGTAAGTCTGGAAAAACAGCCAAATTACAGCTTAGTAAAACAATCATCTGTTCCAAGTGTAAAGGGTAAGTCTGGAAAAACAGCCAAATTACAGCTCAGTAAAACAATCATCTGTTCCAAAGGTAAAGGGTAAGTCTGGAAAAACAGCCAAATTACAGCTTAGTAAAACAATCATCTGTTCCAAATGTAAAGGGTGAGTCATTGTCAGTGAAGCTTAAATAAGTCGGAATGGTACACTGTTAAATTACAGCTTAGTAAAACAATCATCTGTTCCAAATGTAAAGGGTAAGTCTGGAAAAACAGCCAAATTACAGCTTAGTAAAACAATCATCTGTTCCAAATGTAAAGGGTAAGTCATTGTCAGTGAAGCTTAAATAAGTCAGAATGATACACTGTTAAAAAAAATTGCTTAAGTTCCTTTTTATGGTTACACAAATTCAAGGAGGTATGAATTCCATATCCTCATATAAAAGAGATGAAAATCTGACTAGATAGGCTTTATACTAATATATAATTAATTTGAAATGAATTTTGATGAAAATGATGAGGTAATTATGATAATACATATTAATCCAATGATTACACTGTGTGGAGGAACACCTGATGAGTGTAATGTATTTTATTGTAGTGCTGGGGGTAAGCCTGGAGCCATGCAGAAATGTCGGACGTGTAACGGGCGGGGGGTCAAGGTCACCTTGAGACAGCTGGGTCCTGGAATGGTACAACAGATGCAGTCTGTCTGTCCAGATTGTCACGGAGAAGGTAGCTAGAGATGGTGTAGAAATCTTGTTGTGATCATTTATCACTTGAATGTTTACATAGATGTGTATAATGTTTACATGGATACAATGCTGTAGAAAAAGGGAAACAGCTCCTAGATGATTATTTTATCATAAGGTTAAAGTTAATCTTTTATTTATTAATAATCCATTTTTATGTTAAGTTCAAAATGGAGCATGTGACCAGCAAGTTCTAACTTTACCTGTCAAACATTCAATAAGAAGATTATCCTTTTCCATTACAGGAGAAATCATAAATGAAAAAGATAGGTGTAAAGAATGCAAGGGAAAGAAAGTGACCAATGAAACCAAAATTCTGGAGGTCCATGTTGACAAGGGTATGAAGGACGGGCAGAAAATTACCTTCCGAGGGGAGGGAGATCAACTGGTAAGGCACCTATCATTGGAGAAAATTGTCTGATAATAAGTTACCCTGTTATAGATATGATATATTTTCTAAGTGATATAAGATAAGTGCTTGCCTTCTCTTTAACTGTCAGGTTGATGTATGAAAGTGGGTTTAAATGATACTTTTCATAAAGCAGTTTCTGAATTTTTAAAATGAATTATTGTCATTTATTAAATATTTTATCATATGAATTTATACTTTTTAAACTTTTTGGAAATTTAAGACAAATTTCACTTGTGGAGCAAGAACATGTAATGGGTATTTTATTTGGTGTTTATGTTTTGATCTTTGAATTCATCATTACAATTTTTTTAGCCGGAGATAGAACCAGGGGATGTGATCATTATCCTGCAACAGAAAGAACATGAACTTTTCACACGCAATGATAATGACTTGTATTGTACATATAACCTCTCACTGACGGAGGCATTGTGTGGTTTCCAATTCACATTAAAACATCTGGATGGAAGAGATCTTGTGATAAAAAGTCCCCCTGGAGTTGTTGTTAGTCCAGGTAAGTTATTATAATTATCTGTCAAAAATACAACAAAAGTAGTTAGTCTAGGTAATAGCAGAGTTGTTTTCTAAAGCCACTGCATTGGAAGTTTGTTGCAAACTTGGTATTAAGAGATTTTAGTCTTGTGTGCAATTATAAAAGGAAGGAAACAAGTTGGATTGGTACTGTCTGTATTAGTATTTAGATACAAGGTCAGTACAGTGTCTTATAATTTATTTTCAGGATCAGTACGATGTGTAATGGGAGAAGGAATGCCCTTCTACAGAAATCCCTTTGAGAAGGGGAACCTTATTGTTAGGTTCGACATCACATTTCCACCTCAGAACTTTGCCTCTCCAGAAGATTTACAGGTTAGTGAACAATTTGATGTGAATCTGTTTTCCAACACATCCAAAATAATAGGAAGAAAATTTCTTGAAATTTTTATTTGAAATAGATTTCAGATTAAATTTTCAGAAAACATGTATATACCTAGTACATTGTTTATCATTATAATAACATGGTGATCTAAATAAATTAAGCAAGTCTTTTACCAGAGTAAAATTTCTTGACAGAAACTAGAAAAGTTACTGCCACCAAGACCAAAGATAGATATTCCCGCTGGAGAGGATGTAGAGGAAGTAAATCTGGTGGAGTTTGAGGAATCGCGAGGTCACGGTTCCCGACGGGAAGCTTACGATGATGACGACGATGATGACCATCACGGACATGGACCTCGAGTTCAATGTGCACATCAATAACGATGAGACATTTTAGGAGAATTTTTAAACTTTTCTGGGGGGAGTTTTATCCTTTGTTGAACAATTCCATGTTGCTATTGAATATCTTGACCAATGTGTAACTAGAACTTAAACTTTAACCTACCCATATTGAATTTTTTTGTTAATCAGTAAAGGACGTTTCATTTTGACCCAAAACATAACAGGATATTACAGGATGTTTGCATTTTGTGTGAAAACTGAAGAGAAACCTAAGGGTCTTTAGAACTCATTATTGAGTTTTATTTAGAGATTTCTGTGAGACACAGCTGAGTTCCCCCTTCCTGCTGTGGCCTATTTGTTGAGGCTTTCCAGTGTAATTGTTGTGCTGAATTTTGTCATGTATTAAGCTTTTATTTTATTGTCTTGTGACTAATTTAAAATTATGACTTAAAACCCTGTCATTTTTACATGAATTCAGTACCAGCACTCTCGTTGTCACCAAAAGCACTTAGCAATTTTACCAACTATTTCCATTCATCTTCAAGACTTGTAACATGAGGTATATGTTTTTCACCAGTTCTCATGGGAATGCAGGTTTTCAAATCTTAAGTACAGTGCATTTTTAGTAGATGCATTTTTATGTGTAATTTATACTGTTCCATCTAAAGAAATTTAATGTTAAACATGATGAATTCATATAAGTAAATTGTATTTTCAGATTTCTTTTTTAAAACTGATGTACAATTTGAACAAACATACAAGTACTTTCATTTTTTAACTGAGTACTAGTACATATATTAGCTATGCCTGCCAACACAGATGATGGTGCAGACAGTATGTTGTACCCTTTAGAGTTACATTTCCTGAATGTTCAAAGTCTTTTAATTTAATTATTAAATGACATTTATATGTATGTTAACAACAAGTATCGAAAAATTGTAGATTGTATTCTAAATCACTTGTAGCTATTTTGATAAGGACATTTTAAAAGCTTACATTGGCCTTTTTCTACATACCTGTATGGATGTTTGTTATTGTTTGTCATGTATAATTATTATCTTGCTGACCATATAAATTCCTTACCAGATCTATAGAAATGACTATAACATTTTTAGTACAATTTGATGAATATTTAGATTTTTCCTTGATTATGGAATGCTTAATTTTCTCTAAACATTTCAAGCAATAAGTTCTATAAAGAATTAATAGCATGGGGAAAGTTTGAAAGATTCCATGGTTTAGGATCCATGATGGGATGAAATTTGACGCATAATTGAAAATACGTGCATCTCCATCTTTTTAAATGGAATGTTGCATGGTTATTAATGGTACGTAACCCTTAAACATATTCATAAATTCCTGGTCCCAATTGGAGATCTGGATACAGCAAACCTTTGAGAAAAAGTAATTTATCCAGGAAAATTTAACTAGCATACCTCTACAAAATTTGTGAAGTGGGTGTCCCTTAAAGTTCAGGCTCCAGGTGGATTAAATTAATCATTTTATTTTGAAAAATCTTTTCTACTCAAAATCAACAAGAAACAAGTTTCAGATAACATGCATACTGAACAAAGAGAACTCGGATTGTAGAATTTGTCACTTGAGTGAACATGGATACTCAGGTGACCTTTAAAGCCCCTGGGCCTTTTGTCCGAATGTCCAACTTACTTGGTCTAAACCTGTTAGGAGTTATATGTCAGCAAGAGGAACATCATGCCATATTCAGTATTCATAACAAACAAAGAACATCAGGTATTCTGTAACATTTAACTCTGTCATCAATCTATACATTATCTGACAAGGTCTATACTTTTTCCGTATGGGTCTTATATAGAACAAAATAAAATGAACTTGAATGAGATCTGCTGTTTTCTTGGTTTAATTTTTTGGTGAACTTGATTTATATGCACTTTTCTTATATCACGAACATATATGTATCTGCTATCTAACTCAAACTTAATGATGCATCTTGGGATGTTTATATACAGGTACACTGTATCACAAGTCCTTGGCTTGCTGCAGATACTGGATCTGACCTACATTTTTTGGATGGAAGAAAAGGCTTAAGTTTTCTGAGTACTTTCATTTACAAATCACTGTAAACCCTATCTTAACAAAGCTGGCACAGAGGACGCATTTTTGGATGCACTTTCTCAAACTTGCTTCATAATGCTGGATCTTGCCTTCATTTTTAAAAGTAGTTCATTCCTGTGTAATTTAAATCTTTTGATGATCTACACCTAGAGATGCACATTAGTCATTACAGACTCCTTTGGTAGTAGACCCTATTTGATTTTGAGGTCACAAAATCAAGGGTCAATTAACACAGACTCTTGGACAAAGATATTGCCAGTTCAGTTTCTTAAGAACCATGCTTTCCAGACATCAAATTAGGTACACTAAAACCCTTTATGACGAATATTACATCTTCTGATAGTGAGGTTTGATGTACCTGGTATGATTACACCTACCTACCCTTAACTAGGAGATGCCCAATTATTTTTAATATTGCAGAAATTATAAATTTGCTTTTGTTCCCTCTTAAAAACTGCTACACATGGGGCACATGTCTCTGAAATATTTCTTGTTCCAAATTAATATGTTAATTTTAAATAAATTGAATCAAGATCCTCAGTATGTTTCGAGTACAAAAAAATTCTATTTAAAAAACTACATAAACCATTATGATTTATAGACATTTTTTGTGTCAGAAATCTAATAAAACATTACCTTTTCAAATGAAAGAAAAGGTGAGCAAGCTCACATACCCCACGCTCCCCCAAAACTCAAAAAGCTGAAAATCCCGGAAAAAATGAAAGAATCGGAATTTCCCGGTAACATGCACATATACACATTGTGTCCTAAATATCTGCAAAGTTTGACGAAATTCTGTGCAGCGGTTTATGAAGAGTTGCGCTAAGAATCTGTTCATCTCTATATATAAGGTATAGCCAAATGCCTAAGTTAAAAAGTGCGGGAAGTCCCAGAAAAATTTATGGGATCGGAATTTCCTGGTAATATGCACATCTACACATTGTGTCCTAAATACTTGCAAAGTTTGACAAAATTCTGTGCAGCGGTTTATGAGGAGTTGCGCTGACAAAATTGTTCAACTCTATATTCAAGGTATGGCCAAATGCCTAAGTTAAAAAGTGCAGAAATTCCCGGGAAAAATAATGGAATCGGAATTTCCTGGTAATATGCACATCTACACATTGTGTCCTAAATACCTGCAAAGTTCGACGAAATTCTGTGCAGCAGTTTATGATAAGTTGCGCTGACAAACTGTTCATCTCTATATTCAAGGTATGGCCAAATGCCTAAGTTAAAAAGTGCGGAAATTCCCGGAAAAAATAATGGAATCGGAATTTCCTGGTAATATGCACATCTACACATTGTGTCCTAAATACTTGCAAAGTTTGACGAAATTCTGTGCAGCGGTTTATGAGGAGTTGCGCTGACAAACTGTTCATCTCTATATTCAAGGTATGGCCAAATGCCTAAGTTAAAAAGTGCGGAAATTCCCGGAAAAAATAATGGAATCGAAATTTCCTGGTAATATGCACATCTACACATTGTGTCCTAAATACCTGCAAAGTTTGACGAAATTCTGTGCAGCGGTTTATGAGGAGTTGCGCTGACAAACAGTTCATCTCTATATTCAAGGTATGGCCAAATGCCTACTATCTCTATATTCAAGGTATGGCCAAATGCCTAAGTTAAAAAGTGCGGAAATTCCCGAAAAAAATAAAGGAATCGGAATTTCTTGGTAATATGCACATCTACACATTGTGTCCTATATACCTGCAAAGTTTGACGAAATTCTGTGCAGCGGTTTATGAGGAGTTGCACTGACAAAAAAAAAGTTCATCTCTATATTCAAGGTATGGCCAATACCTCACGCAACTAGTTGCGTGGGGTATAATTAATGATACTTTTCTCATTTAAGTGTACTTTTAAATTTATATAATTTTGCAATAAATACTAACATTTTATTTCATTTTTATAGAACCCGTTTCAAAATCATTTGTGCATTATATCACACATTCCATACTTAATACAGATATACATGTATATCATTTACACATGTCTAAAATACCTGCAAAGTTTGTATATATCACATTTGAGCTTGCCATATCAGCGGTTTATGACCTGGCCATCCCCAGCTGACGTGTTCACCGAGTGAGGACCACTAACAAGCATTCTGTTCATGACAGGGTATTTATCTGGAAGCTCCCCTATAGAACACTGTAAACTGATTGGTGGATTCTCCCCAACTCTGTCAGGGTCTGTGGGGTACAACTCATCGCCTGCAAAAAAATTAGCTACCTACCCCACGCTCCCCCAAAACTTGACGGTAAAGCACATAATGAAAGGCACAGTGCACTTTAAATACATAGTATAGATCAAAAAGGGCAGTAATTGCAAAAAAAATCTTTACATCAAAATGTCTTACATATGAGGACATTTAAGTGTGGAATGAAGTTTATATAAAGGAATCAAAATTTCTTGGCATTATACAAATCCAAACACTTAAGCGAAGTGGTTGGGGGGGGGAGAAATTTTCTTGAATAATAGGCAAAACTCTTTGTGATAAAAGAAACTATTTACAACAGTTTAAGAGGAGTGGTGCTAACAAACTGTTCATCTCTATATTCTAAATATGGCCAAAAAGTCTAAGTTGGAAAGTGTGGAAATTCAGAAATATAGGAATCAATTTCCTGGTAATATGCACATCTACATATTGTGTCCTAAATATCTACAAAGTTTGATGAAATTCTGTGCAGCGGTTTATGAGGAGTTGCGCTGACAAACTGTTCATCTCTATCCAAATGCCTAAGTTAAAAAGTGCGGAAATTCCCGGAAAAAATAAAGGAATCGGAATTTCCTGGTAATATGCACATCTACACATTGTGTCCTAAATACCTGCAAAGTTTGACGAAATTCTGTGCAGCGGTTTATGAGGAGTTGCGCTGACAAACTGTTCATCTCTATGTTCAAGGTATGGCCAAATGCCTAAGTTAAAAAGTGCGGATATTCCCAGAAAAATAAAGGAATCGGAATTTCCTGGTAATATGCACATCTACACATTGTGTCCTAAATACCTGCAAAGTTTGACGAAATTCTGTGCAGCGGTTTATGAGGAGTTGCGCTGACAAACTGTTCATCTCTATGTTCAAGGTATGGCCAAATGCCTAAGTTAAAAAGTGAGGAAATTCCCGGAAAAATAATGGAATCGGAATTTCCTGGTAATATGCACATCTACACATTGTGTCCTAAATACCTGCAAAGTTTGACGCATTCTGTGCAGCGGTTTATGAGGAGTTGCGCTGACAAACTGTTCATCTCTATATTCAAGGTATGGCCAAATGCCTAAGTTAAAAAGTGCGGAAATTCCCAAAAAAAATAAAGGAATCGGAATTTCCTGGTAATATGCACATCTACACATTGTGTCCTAAATACCTGCAAAGTTTGACGAAATTCTGTGCAGCGGTTTATGAGGAGTTGCGCTGACAAACTGTTCATCTCTATATTCAAGGTATGGCCAAATGCCTAAGTTAAAAGTGAGGAAATTCCCGGAAAAATAACGGAATCGGAATTTCCTGGTAATATGCACATCTACACATTGTGTCCTAAATACCTGCAAAGTTTGCCGAAATTCTGTGCAGCAGTTTATGAAATTTGCGCTGACAAACTGTTCATCTCTATATTCAAGGTATGGCCAAATGCCTAAGTTAAAAAGTGAAAATTATTAGAAAAATAATGGAATCGAATTTCCTGGTAATATGCACATCTACACATTGTGTCCTAAATACCTGCAAAGTTTGACGAAATTCTGTCCAGCGGTTTATGAGGAATTGCGTTAAAAAAAGAGGACTGATCACGGAATTACTGACTGACTGACTGACTGACGGACGGGTCAAAAACATTATACCTCCCGCAACTAGTTGCGTGGGGTATAAAAAGGGGGAGGTAAGCAGGGTGTTTATTGCTTCTAGTGAATATGAATCAGGCTTTTTAAAACACTGTACATATACTATCTGTTTAAAGACAAATATGCATTCTATAATTGATCCCTGAAGATATAACCATATGGAGATAACCAAGATAATCTTGTAAACTTTCTGTTTTAAATTACATACAAACACAGGTTCTTAAATTAAACTCTGTGTACACTCTCTGCATTTTGTGTCTGTCAAAGAAATATATTTATACATGTATAATTTAATTTTGCTTGTAACATGTCATTTAATTGTTTTATTACATATTGTATAACATAAGTTGCCTTTGTCAGAATGAGTTGCATCAAAACGCATTACAGTTAAACATGCTTATAACAAAGTTCCAGGGACCTACAATTTTGTTTCCTTATAAGTGTAATTTAATTTACAAAATATTTCATAGTTATAGAGATTGAAAATCACTTCACAGTTAGAATCAATTCATTTTAAATGTATTTCCAACAAGTTCTACTGTTCTCACTAGCTTAAAGTTCCTTTTAACAGATGCTCATTTTGAAACCATTTTTGAAGGAAAAATTGTCAAACTGCCTACTCTGAAGGAATAAATTTAATAGCTACCCAAGTTATACTGTTATAACATGGGTTGCAACATTTTACGCTATTTTATAAAGCATAAACTTCCCCAACCCCTGTTATACAGTATAAATTGGTTAGTTATTAATTAAATTCATTTCTTAAACATTTTTAATATTAAAAAATTTTGCTTTTAATTTTTCACGATTTATGTGCCACACATGCTCACATACTGACCTGGATAGACAACAATTATGCCATCTTCACATAGTACCACAACAGGGAAATATTGTGCAACACGTTTTTTCATTGCCCTTTCCCATGCAAACTGTTGAAGGTTTTCAATGTTTTGAAAGTTAAGAAGCCTACACACTTCATAGACTTGGGGTGGAGCTAGGCCTCCTTTATGTTTGTTGTAAACACTCAGCAAAGTGTCAGGAGCTGCCCACTATAACAAAAACCAGGTTAAGTTCTAGTTAACAAATTTAATAAACAATCATTAACATTATAATGTTCTTCATCTTCTGTCTTTATCTTAAGCTGTAGGTGAGGTTTAATTCATTTTATACAATTACCTGTAAATGTACAGTCTCTTTGTCATCATGCACAGCTTTTGGAAGATGATCGAGTACACAAAGAAAGAAAGCAGTGTCGTATCTTCTACCTGATTTTTTTGCATTCGTTGACAATGTCGTAGGGGTCAGCCAATTTGACCATTCTGAAAGTGACCAGACATCAGGAATCACATTAAGTGTCCGACACATCACAATAAATTCTGCTGGGTTTTTATCCACACGTTTACGCCATTCATCGCTATCCAGGTGATAACTTGTACCAGATACTGGTTGCTGAGGAAAATTATTTTTTAAACCAGATTTATCTTCAAATGTTCTTGCAATTAGTACCCCTGACTCTTCAAAAGTTTCACGAATGGCACAAATTCTGAAAGCTAACTCACTTGGTATTTGCTCAAATTCAGGGCTTCGTGGCCTACTGAACATCGGGGGACCTTCCCCTGCAACTTTCAGAGATGTGAGTAGCTCATGACATTCTGATGCACCAAACTTCTTGTATAAATCTAACCACTCTGTCGAAAAGTCGGCATCTTCTGCAATACCCCCCGGAAACACATACACATCTGGCATGAACTTGCTTTTAGCTGACCTTTTTAGCATCAGGATTTTGTAATTGAATTCTGACAGCTCGGAGGTCACACCTTCAAGCTGCATGCCGCCGCCATTAACAAGATTAGGAACGATTTTTCTAGATTTTGAAACGAGCAACAACGTTGCTGCCTCTCTCCAATGCTTCAAAATAGCTGCCATCATAGAAATAAGCAAGTAAACCTAGATACTGAACTTTTGGAGTTTTATGTCACGGGTGCACCCATTTTTAAAGTGCCCGTATGACATTTAGCAACTCGTTCGTATAGGTAGATTTTGGTCATCTCTATCAACTTTCTGTGATTCAGAAAGTGTAAATTTATAGATTTTCAATTAACTTCTGATGATTTTCATGTGAATTGTGAGTAAGAACTTTTATAAGTGAATAAACTTGTAAAATGAACATAGAATGGCGATAAAGCGAAACAAATATGATCGTATTGCTTGATCTTAGAGTTTTAGTTTCATTTTCGATTTGGTCATATCAAATCTTGTGACGCCACTCAATAAATTGGAAATCACCTGCAACTGACATAAAGATGGCAGCATACAGAACAGAGTCAGTAATTTTTTCCTCATGTTTTTAGTTTTCTCTCTTAGAGATCTAGGTACCAAAGATAAGAGTTTAATCTTTATCTGTTTATACATTTTATCAGGGACCTATACCGTATAATCCCTATTAACCGCCCCGGGCGCTTAGAAAATTGCAAAAAGGGGGCGGTTATTTTGGTATTCTCTTTATGATATTTAATGTCATATTTTAACTTCAAAAAATCGTTTGAAATTAAAAATGAATACAAGAAACAACTAAGGTAATATCTAACTTTACTTAAAGTGAAGATGATCCTCCCAAATTATGCTAAATTGTTCATTTTCCACTGAGAAATTGGATAATAGACAAATTTCATTTTCACTTCCTTCACTTTTTTGATACAATTCTAATTGATTTTAATCACGTACAGGGGGCCCTTATTTCCTGACAATTGAAAAAGACCTAAGGGGGCGCTTATAGGGGTTGGGGCGGTTAATAGGGATTATACGGTATACTAGGTATAGTATTACTATATAGGTCCCTGATTGTATCATGCATATATAGGTAGATTCAAGGTAGTCGATCAAATGTTTTTCTCCTGTCTCGAGACAGCAAGATTACTAGAGTATTATATTCTCTCAGATACTGAGGCTTAAGAATACTTGCGCCTGCTCCTTCCTACTGTAAATCACTTTTTATTTGCGAGAACTTTATTTTCGCGTAATTACGCGAGTCTGTCTGCTCGCGAAAATTTTATTCTCGCGTATATTTGTATTATTAATGTTTATATACTAGTGATGAAACGATTGTCGCCGACGATCGATTGTCGATCATTTTTGGGTGTTTGATTCCGATTATCGATTACGTTTTTCATAATCGATTGTCGCCCAAATAAACTTGTATGATTTGAACGAAACTAATACATACACATTAACAATACATGTAAAACGAAAGGAGGTCAACAAAAATGGCGTCCGAAGTCGTAGAAATTTACCCATATCCAGGGAATGCATAGATAGCACATTCTACCGTTAAAATGATATTTTCCTACGGACCCGGTTTAATGATAGAATTCGTTCCATGTATTCATAATGTTGCAAAAGAAACACAGGCAATAAATCATACTCAGTGGATTTACTACGGACAATCTAGAGAGTTCCGAGTGTAAGCATGGCAGGTAAATTGGAAGCGAGAGAAAAACGTTGAGAACATTAATTGGATTTTCGTCTTTATATGGATTATTTTTTGGGATAAAATGCATAAGCAATCTCCAAAAGGATTTTTTTTGATTTATTTGGAAGTTATTTTCAGTGCAAATCCTTTTATATTCTTCAAAATCGTGTCGGAGTGTATCTGCTCCGATTTGCTACATTGCAAATATATGGGACGTATTCTAACTGTGGTGAGGGCTTGTACCGAGAGACACAGTTAGATTATTCTAACTAGGGAATGCAAATTCTGATGTCATGACAAACATTTTTAGTTTTATGAGCAAATATGTAAAAAAAAAATTCTGTTTCTTTGTTACTTATACAACAAAAAAGTTGTCTTTAGAATAAAATTTTATTTATACCGTAGTTTGTTCCATAAATGATAAATGCTGTAAAGAAATAGAATTTTGTATTTGAAATTTGAATTACCAATTAAGTCGATGATTGATCGATTAAGCTTCTCCGATTTTGACTGATTATCGATTATGAAATTTTCCCAATTATTCAACACTATTATATACAACAGAAACCACAGCTCGCGAAAATTTTGTCTCGTTAATAAATATCAAATAGCTAAGTCGTGAAAATAAGGTGTCGCAAAAATATAGTGATCTACAGTACATTGTTGCTCTCCCTTTGCATTTCAACTCCTGTTTTCCTACCCTGGAATATAAGTCAGAATTAGTTCAGAAACAGGTGTCCCTCTTAATAAACGATAATTTTTTTTGACAATGTTTAATTACCAAAGTTTTCAACTCTTGTCTTTTTAAATATCAGACCAGCATTCTGTCGTGGAGAACACACTTTTAAAGTACCAGCTGAGATGTTCAAAGAGAACAGGAAACGGTTGGTAGAGAAACTGAAAGCAACAAAGAAGGTACCTGCGGGGGCATATGTACTCCTCCAAGGTGGAGAATCTGAAACACGACACTGCTCAGACCATGAACCTATTTTTAGACAGGCAAGTTCCTTTCTGTTTGAAGCAGTGTTGAATACCAGTTGAATGATAGTCTATAATATATAGTAGCACTGAATGCTTCACGGAATTTCTTGGGTCTACTTTTAACAGGAGTCTTACTTCCATTGGGCCTTTGGTGTGGAGGAGCCAGATTTTTACGGTGCTATTGAGGTGGACAGCGGGCGAGGAATTCTCTTTCCACCTAAGCTTCCTGATGCATATGCAGTCTGGATGGGAAAGTAGGTCAAGTTACCTTTTTCTTAATGATTTTCTTTTCAATTGATTTGAAATACCAAATGTATCTTTGGATTATCCCATGTTATTTGTACACATGTCAAAATTGATTGGAGATTATGCTGTTTAGAGAAATAAAAAGCTTAAGAAATCAAATTGAGTTTTAACACTTATAAACAAAATTTTTTTTAGAAAACAGTTTTTTTTTCCCTTATAGAAAGTCATATTTCTTAATGTGCTTAATACTGTATAGTATATGATTCTTGTGTCTTGTGCCTGGAACAATTAATGTTTATACAAACAAGGTCATATAAAAAGTACATGCTGATTGATTAATTAGAAAAGAATAGAATTATACTTCATTTTAATTAATTATTGTTTAATACTACAGACTTCTAGATCTGAAGGACTTCCAGGTTCGCTATGGTGTGGATGAGGCCCACTGGGCAGAGGATGTAAGACTTCACTACTAATGTAAACTCACATTAATAAGTAAAAAAGAAACACTTGACAAGTAATTGGAACATTACGCAGACATTAAATTTATTGTTTTTCTTTACAGTTAGCCAAGATACTGAAAGAGAAAAAAGCTTCTGTTCTCCTTACTTTGGTAGGTCATTCTATATCTCGTACTCATATTGCACAGAAATGTCTATAGCGGATTTAATCAAGTTTTGTGATTTTTTAGCTCACCTCGACAAAGTCGACCTGAGCTTATGCTATACCCCCTGCGTTGGCGTCGGCGTCCCAGGTTAAAGTTTTCGGAGCAAGTCCATTCCCAAGTAACTATAAGCCCTACCTGGACCAAGCTTGCATGGATGATGCATCTAGGGATGGACACTACCAGACTTGCTTCAGATGCTGGATCTGACCTACATTTTCCAGATGACTGACCAGGTTAAAGTTTTAGGAGCAAGTCCATTCCCAAGTAACCATAAGCCCTACCTGGACCAAACTTGCATGGATGATGCATCTAGGGATGGACACTACCAGACTTGCTTCAGATGCTGGATCTGACCTACATTTTCCAGATGACTGACCAGGTTAAAGTTTTAGGAGCAAGTCCATTCCCAAGTAACTATAAGCCCTACCTGGACCAAGCTTTCACGGATGATGCATCTAGGGATGGACACTGCCAGACTTGCTTCAGATGCTGGATCTGACCTACATTTTCCAGATGACTGACCAGGTTAAAGATTTAGGAGCAAGTCCATTTCCCAAGTAACTATAAGCCCTACCTGGACCAAGCTTTCACGGATGATGCATCTAGGGATGGACACTACCAGACTTGCTTCAAATGCTGGATCTGACCTACATTTTCCAGATGACTGACCAGGTTAAAGTTTTAGGAGCAAGTCCATTCCCAAGTAACTATAAGCCCTACCTGGACCAAACTTGCATGGATGATGCATCTAGGGATGGACACTACCTGACTTGCTTCAGATGCTGGATCTGACCTACATTTTCCAGATGAGTGACCAGGTTAAAGTTTTTGGAGCAAGTCCATTCCCAAGTAATATAAGCCCTACTCACACCAAACTTGCATGGATGATGCATCTAGGGATGGACACTACCAGACTTGCTTCAGATGCTGGATCTGACCTATATTTTCCAGATGAGTGATTCCCAAGAAACTATAAGCCCTACCTGGGCCAAACTTGCATAGATGATGCATCTGAGGATGTACAATTGAGACTTGCTTCAGATGTTCATTTTCCAAATGAGTGTCCAGGTTAAAGATTTGGAACAGATCAATCCCCAATGAACTTTAAGATCTATTGAAACAGAACTTGCACAAATATTGTTGTCAGGATAAATACTAACTATTAAAAAAAAATATGATGTGAGATTTGTATTACTTAAACTGATAACATTCGTCGAGGTGAGCTTCGTAATCTTTGATTACCTATAGTTTTTTTGTAGATGAACTGTATTGAGATTTATACACATATTTATGTACAATGTCTATATCGAATTGAAATATGTATCATATATTTAGGTAGCTTGCAATACTATATAACGGTACATTTAATAACATGTAGTATTTAAACTGAAAAATATTTAGATGTCCATTTATTTCAAGAGGAGTATATATAGAGAATAATACATGGCAACATCTGTATCACACCCCGTATCAACCCGAGACTTCAATATTGTTGTTTTTATTATACAGTGTATATTTGATAATAGTTTACATTGTGACATTGTAAAATGCACTATACTATTCCATTCTATTCTAATTTACAATATTCCACTTTATTATAGAGGGGGTTGAACACAGACAGTGGCAACTATAGCAGAGAAGCTGCCTTTGATGGGATCAGTGAGTAAGTAGGGAGGGGGGGGTTCAAGTAACAGTGGATAAATTTCAGTAATTAATTAAATTATCTTCTTAAGAGTTGTTTCCCTACTGTTCTTCTAGGAAAACATACTTTCAGAGCAACTCAGTGAAAATATTGTGTATACATGCTTAAATATATATATATTTTTTATGAGTTATTCTTTTGGTAGGTTCAAGGTTGATAATACCATCTTACATCCTGAGATTTCTGAATGGTATGTTTTATGTTTTAATTTTTTTATAAGTGTAAAATGTACATAATAAAACCTAATTCAAGAGTGTAAATCTTGCATTATAGGAGCCAAGCTTTTATATGCATTGAAGTAATCATATATTTGCGTGTAGTTTAATTTAAGAAGCAGTCTGGAAAATACTAAAATTTGAACATCACTAAACTAAGTTTTGTATACAGTGTGATTGTTTTTCTTTCCTTTTTTGACATTTAATAATTTTGCAGAGCATACAAATGCAAACACTGGAGCTTAGCTCTTATAAATACAGCATACCATATCTTTGAAATGGTATTTTTATCTCTTTGATAGCCGTGTGTTTAAGACAGACTTAGAACTGGAGGTTATGAGGTACTCCAACAGAATTAGCAGTGAGGCTCATAAAGAGGTAAATAGAACAGGTTTAAGGCATCTGAGGTCAGAAAATTTTATTTTAAATATATGTAATAATGCTGTGGATCAAGCAGAAGGTTTTATAAGCTATGAGGGAGAACAGACCAAACTAACAAAATGATTCACACAAATTCAAATTAAAAAAGAATTTTGTAAAAATCCCTATGCAAGCTAAGAGGCCTGTAGAGTAGTAAACAAACAGAGAAACAGACAAAGTTGATGAAAAAACACAGGCGACAGGGGGTCCATGAAGATATGAATAGAACAGAAGCACATGACTTATGTGTGGTCTGTATGTAGGAGAAGCCTATAATTTAGCAAAACACAAATTTGACAATTTAATTTCAAAAATTAGTGAATAATTTTCTTCACAAATAATTTTAAAATTTCACAAAGTGATCTTATGATATCTTACATGATACATGTAACTGCTACCTCCTAAGACCTTATAGTGCTTAATAAAATTTCAGTGCTCCGTACAATTTAATCAATCCCATTACCCTAATTAATAATGTCAACATTGAATGCTTGCTAAAATCATAGTATGAGTTTGATGACAAATTTTACTGTGTAATTCATCCTACTATAGAATTAAAACAGAGCATTATGATTACAGGTGATGAGATGTGTAAGGCCAGGAATGTATGAATATCAGATGGAAAGGTAACTTTACTCATACAATAATATAAAAGACTAGTACATAACTGCTGTATTTTGTTTGTATTTTGTAATCTTCCCTAACTTTCTCTCTACAGTATCTTCAAACATTACTGTCAGTTTAATGGAGGGATCCGACTAATGGCTTACACATGTATCTGTGGCAGGTAGGGCATAGTACAGAAATTGTCATACAATGTACAATTAAATGTTAAATTTTTTAAATGAAAGTTTTTGTAATATAAGCATTGTTGATATTTCTATGAAGAGATGTACTGGTATTCTTTGTCTCAGCTTTGTGCATTTCTAAGATCATGCTTTCTGTAACTGTTCTTGTGTCCCACTCCAGTGGGGACAATGGTTCTGTCTTACACTATGGACATGCAGGTGCCCCCAATGCCAAAAAAGTACAGGACGGAGACATGTGGTGAGTATCCAAGGATAGAAATCCTCAAACTTATGACAAGGAAAAAAGATTGAAAACGTGTTGTTTTATATTATCATAACTGAATATAGACATTGTAAAGGATGTAAATTACATGTACTGCAGAAGGATGGTGTTGTGATAGAAAACATTTTTTTCTGTCAGCCTTCTAGATATGGGTGGAGAATATTACTGTTACACATCTGACATTACCTGCTCCTACCCAGCCAATGGAAAGTTTACAGAAAAACAAAGAGGGATTTATGAGACAGTGTATAAATCAAGTAGGGCCGTAATGAAAGCCCTGAAACCAGGTGAGTCGTACTGAACTCACTTGTAGTCAAATGTACACGACCAAGGGAAGAATTTTTATATGTAGATTGGGGCATTCAGTATTGAAATGATTTGACTTAAAAAATAGCCAGATTTCTTGCTGGATAGCCAACATTTGAAAAATGCAGAGTTCAAATCACAGTTTTTTTTGTTTTTTTTTACATTTTCACCTTGATATATTTTGTGCTTCACTGTACCCTTTGGAATCTTTAGCAATGAGCTTTCTTACCTGACCTTCAAGTATTTTTAATTTGAAATACTGACTGGTTTCTTAACATTTATTTTCTCTGAGGATTAACTTCTGACTACTGTCTGTCCCTCTGTTGTTTATGACAGGTGTGTCATGGGTGGACATGCACCTGCTGGCAGACAGGGTACACCTGGAGGAGCTAAAGAAGCTGGGGCTCCTGAAGGGGGATGTAGAAGACATGATGAGGGTCCGTCTTGGGGCAGTATTTATGCCTCATGGTCTGGGACACTTCATGGGAATCGACACCCACGATGTCGGCGGGTATCCTGAGGTGGGGATTTTCCTAAAATCTTCATTAAATTCCTATCCATCAGTACATATAAAATCATGAAAGGCAAACTTTATGTGGATTAATTCATATGACAAACTGAACATAGCATTCTTTAATTAATGGTTTTATGATTAACACCACATAAAAGTAAAAGATTATGACTTGTCCTTGACTGTAGTGAATGCAAATATTTAAACCTTCATTAAGCTGAGTAAATTACCATTCATCTTTATACACATATATTGCTTCAAAGTCCATGAATTAGAATTAACTCATGCAATAAGACAGAAAATAAAATGACATGCAATCTAATTCTTGTGAACAGTTGTTCGGCATTCTATAATCACCAGTTGTTGTTATGATCAGGGTGTGGAGAGGAGTGATCAGCCTGGTTTGAAGTCCCTGAGGACAGCCAGAGTTGTCCAACCCAGAATGGTACTCACCATAGAACCTGGAGTGTATTTCATTGATGTGGTAAGTTGTGGGGAATAGCAAGAGTGGCAAGTTCCAAAATGGTAATGAATATAGAACTAGGATCTTAGATGTGGTTTGTTCTTTAAAATGGTGGGAAGCAAAGAAAGGTACTTTGGATGTACTGTATGTCACTAATTTTTTTTGCATCTTATTCTCATTGGACTGTATTTGGTGCTTAGAAGGTGTTTATTACGTATAACTTTAGCAAGATAAAGAATAGTTGTGAAGAAATAAAGCTCTTGCAAATAATAAGTCATTTACTTGATGCTGAATTGAAGTTGTTGAAAGCTTTGTTTTTAATCAGTAATTCTTTTTTGTTTTCAGCTGTTAGATGCAGCCCTTAACAACCCTGAGCAGTCCCAGTTTATGTGCCGGGAGGTGATAGACCAATACAGGGGATTTGGAGGGGTGAGATATTTCTTAAATATCTAGAAATATTTATATCTCAATTTGCATTATATGTATACAAATAAAATTTTAAAAAATCATTTTATTTTATTTGAATTTGAAGACTGTTTTTAATTTGAAAATTCTTCATTCAAATATTCATTACATGAGTAAATATAAAGAACAATATTTTAACGGCAGGTTCGTATAGAGGATGACGTGGCAGTCACAGATGAGGGGATGGAACTACTGACTTGTGTCCCCCGGACTGTGGAAGAGATTGAGAGTCTGATGGCCGAGGGGAAACAACGACCCCAAATCCCCCTGCCACAGGAAGTGAAGTCATAATTGGCTGTTTTAGGGGAGACGACTTCCCCAGATCCCCCGCCCACAGGAAGTGACATCATAACCAGTTGTTTTCAGTTGACTTACAGAGTACCCATACCATTATATACATCATAAAAGTAACATTTGTTTTATAGATATATGTATTAATTTTCTTTGTCATTTTATTTCTAGTTGATTGAATTTGATAAGTTGTAATGTAATTTAATGTATGGTTGTAAAGTGAAAGACATTTTTGTAAGACTATACCTCTAAACTGATAAGATCTATAATAATTAGGAGGAATAGCATCAAGACAGAATATGTCTCATAGATTGTCTTTTATTGTTGAAGACCTACATGATTTAATACAGGAATATGGTGCTAATCAGCCTGTGAAAAGGCAGGCTTACAATGATGTGTGATTAAGATAAATATATTCATTTTTGTAAAAGTATATATTTTATTCCAGATGTTTATTTGCCTTAAGCTTACTACCGGTGCATTCCAACCTATTGAGTTCATTATATTTACATCACACACATTTACAACATACCAGTATAAGAAAAGTGGTTACATGTGATGCAGAAAAACTCTAGATCTTTTGGTAATTTAAAGAAAATTGCAAAGATCAATCAACTTCCAATTCAATTTACAAATGACTTGTTTGAAAAATTCTAAAATCTTATGAATACATATACATGTGTGCATGTGTTACATATTTTACCTTGGCAATACAGTTATACATTTGACAACATGTTTCATCTTTAATATGATTTTATAATATGGCAGTATACATATTTAGCAGATAAAACTGTCTCTGTTTCATTACATGTGTTGGTGATATGAAGCTGTGATTTTTCATAATTATTTACAATACCATGCAATACTCAGTAGACGTACATGATTACAGTAGTGCTATATAATTATGTAGACATGTCAAAATGTGATCCTGAACTATTCTTTTATCATGAACAAGGTCTTTATGCTTTTTTTGCTACATGGAATAAATTTATCTATGTACGAGGGTTGTTCGAAAAGTTCGTGGACAACTGTCATATCTTTTTTATTATACGCCCGTCTTAAGACGGGACGTATTATGTTATAGGCTTCGTGTCCGTCCATCTGTCCGTCTGTTAGCTTTTCTCGTGTCCGGCTCATAACTTTAATACTATAAGGCCTAGAGTTATCAAACTTTGTCAGCTGATACATCTTGGGTAGAAGGTGTGTCGCGCACAAAAAGTAGGTCGCTCTGACCTTTAATTAAGATGTTATAGCCAAATATGGAAAAACCCTGTCCGTCTCATAACTAGAAAACTATGAGACCTAGAGCTTTCAAACTTGGCAAAAGTATACAGCTAAAGTAGAAGGTGTGTCGCGGCCTATTTCAAGGTCACTGTGACCTTTAATTTAAGTGATTTAAAAAAAAAAAATAAGTCTTTTAAATTTTAAATTTCATAATCCTAAAAAATGTAAAAATATAGCTGTATCCTTATTTAAAAATGTTAAATTAAGTAAAAACTTATTTTTTCATTATATACTTTACAGCAATCTGTAACAAATGTTTATGCTTTAAGAGGAATTCAGTTTGTCCCATGGGCATAATTATCAAGCACTGGTCAAGAAGAATTTTGATAGCAGAAACTTGCATGTCAAATTAGTGAGAAATTAATGAGTTTATTTTCAGGAGCTAAGAGCATTTATAGATCTGATGCAGCTGTTATCTTAATTTATCTCTTGGGAGTTGGGCAAAAAGAAATGGCCTCATAGTTGCTTGTGTTAATTAAGAGTTCTTGATGGCTAGTCCAGATAAAGATCTTCCAATTGGTGTAATGTAATTAAAACAAATTTATGTTTTAGTGTATGATTAAAACTAAATTAGTATTGTATAATATAATTAAAACTAATTATACATGTGTTCATTGAAAAAAAAATATATTTCAATTTTTATATTTGCAACAAATTGCAGTCATGTCTCACTTAGAATTTTATAGTCTGAAGAAATTATAATTTATGTTTGATTTTTTTTTATTAAACTGTAGCATTTCTATCATTTCAGAATATATGCAATAAACAATTTAAGTTTAAGTAAGCTGCAGATGGATATTTGTTATGCTCTAACACAACCAGTTTAGAGTTATATGATGTATTTGTTATAATCAATCCCTACAATGCAAGTCTCTTAGTATGATAAGAAATGGAAATTAGATCATTGAAATCTGTGTCAATCTGTTAATCAAGGCTACCTGATTTTCTTGCATCCTAACCAATTTATGATTATTGAACAATATTTGACGGGCGTATCATGCTGTGGCGGGGCACTTTATTTGACGTCATATGTTATCCGAATTTGGTAGGAATATTTTTACAATAAATCCAAATGATTTGTGTTAAATTTTTCTAAAATATTACGATTTATTCAAAGCTTATCAAGATTTTAAAAATGCAAAAATCAGATCGTGGAGCAGGTCAAAATTTAGTAAGTTGCAGACACTACACTATATAATGTCTGCAGTCATATTCCCTGTAAAATTGAGCAAAAACAAAATCAGCCCAGAAATTCAAATTAAGAATTGTTACGTCGATGAGTATACCAAATTATGACTTTATTCTTTATTTTGTTGAAAGGAAATCATCTTGAGAAGATGGGTAGTCCTTATTGAAAACGACAAAAACGATGACGTTTTAGAACTTCAGGGAGCAGCAGATAACGATGCAATTTTGTGTTTTACTCAGAAAAAAACTGAATAAACTCTGAAATTTTGGAGGAATCAAGAAAATATGTCACAAGCGAGTTGTGCATGTGTGTACAAATAGTACAGACAGTATTTGAGTGACAGAGACTCTGTATCAGATGAGGACAATCTGTGAAGCTACGGTTTAACTGTAAAATCTTAACAAAATCCTTAAAAAGTTGGAATGTCATGGAAAGACATAGGTGCTTCAGAGTTGCATATCCTGTGAAAGCAGAATTAAGTTATAAAAGAAATTAAGACCTTAACAAATGAAATTAAAAAATAAATGTCAAATATTAGAACAAGGATTTAATGAGTGGGCATTGGATTATACTGTGTGAAATGTATAGGGATAGTATTTTTTAGAAATTCTTGGCGCTACGTTTTGACGTTACATTCCCGTTAAGTGTGCTCCTCGGGTATAAAACATGTTGATTTTAAAATAAAGTAAATTAATTTCTGTTAAATCGAATGGAATGAAACATCACACATCAACAAAACAAATACTTTTAAATATTATATTGTGCTTATCTTAAATTCCTAGTGAGTAATATAACGAAGATTGACATCGTCCACGAACTTTTCGAACAACCCTCATAGTAATGTTCTCTCTTTTTTTATACCCCAGGCAAATAGTTGCGGGAGGTATAATGTTTTTGACCCGTCCGTCAGTCAGTCCGTCAGTCAGTCAGTCAGTCCTCTTTTTTTGTCAGCGCAAACTTTGCAGGTATTCAGGACACAATGTGTAGATGTGCATATTACCAGGAAATTCCGATTCCATTATTTTTTTCCGGGAATTTCCGCACTTTTTTACTTAGGCATTTGGCCATACCTTTTATATAGAGATGAACAGTTTGTCAGCGCAACTCCTCATAAACCGCTGCACAGAATTTCGTCAAACTTTGCAGGTATTTAGGACACAATATGTAGATGTGCATATTACCAGGAAATTCCGATTCCATTATTTTTTCCGGGACTTTCCGCACTTTTTAACTTAGGCATTTGGCCATACCTTTTATATAGAGATGAACAGTTTGTCAGCGCAACTCTTCATAAACCGCTGCACAGAATTTCGTCACACTTTGCAGATATTTAGGAAACAATATGTAGATGTGCATATTCCCAGGAAATTCCGATTCCATTATTTTTTCCGGGACTTTCCGCGCTAAATACTTAAGTTTTTGGCCATACCTTGAATATAGAGATGAACAGTTTGTCAGCGCAACTCCTCATAAACCACTGCACAGAATTTCGTTAAACTTTGCAGATATTTAGGACACAATATGTAGATGTGCATATTACCAGGAAATTCCGATTCCTTTATTTTTTCTGGGACTTCCCGCACTAAAAACTTAGGTTTTTGGCCATACCTTTTATATAGAGATGAACAGTTTGTCAGCGCAACTCCTCATAAACCACTGCACAGAATTTCGTTAAACTTTGCAGATATTTAGGACACAATATGTAGATGTGCATATTACCAGGAAATTCCGATTCCTTTATTTTTCCGGGAATTTCCACACTTTCCAACTTAGACTTTTTGGCCATAGTTTGAATATACAGATGAACAGTTTGTCAGCACCACTCCTCTTAAACTGTTGTACATAGTTTCGTCAACCTATGCAGATGTTTAGGACATATTCCATTATTTTATCCCAAAGAGTTTTGCCTATTATTCAAGAAAATTTCTCACCCCCACCCCACCCCAACCACTTCAAATTAATGTTTGGATTTGTATAATGCCAAGAAATTTTGATTCCATTATTTATCTAGAAACTTCATTCCACATTTAAATGTCCTCATATGCAAGACGTTTTGATGTGAAGATTTTTTTGCAATTATTGCTTTTTGATCTATACTATGTATTTAAAGTGCACTAGCTGTGCCTTTCATTATGTGTTTCACTGTCAAGTTTTGGGGGAGCGTGGGGTATGTGAGCTAGCTCACTTTTTCTTTCATTTTTTAAAGAATTGGTCCCATGCCCTCCTGCCATCTTATATATCGGTCTTTTCTTTTACTGTGTTTCCTTCATTTTTTGCCATTTATTCCATTAAACAGTGAATTTTATACTTAATTATAAAAAAAATTGATTTGCTTAATTTCAACATAAAAATAATACTGGTACTTTGAAAACAGGATGGCATAGATATAGAATTTTTTCTCAAAGGAAAACTGTGAACTTCTGTGTATTTTTTTTTTAATTTTGTTTTAGAGCACTGTCTAGCACCTATATATCAACTTATAAAATAATTGCTAAACTTTATTGTAGTATATGTAATTTACATGCCAGTTAAGATAGTTATTCTACTTTAATTTTGATCACACTTATTAACAAACAAGAGGCCCACGGGCCTTATAGGTCACCTGAGTAACATGTTACAACTTTCCAACAACTGAATTTGGTTTGACTATTTTAAACCAAAAGCCTTGAAATTCACAATTTTGAAAGAGGCACCATTGTTTATCATAACTATACACTTAGCATGCTTATTTTGGTTACTTAATACCCAAAGGCAGATCAGGTTAACAGAGAGAAAATGCATTTCCACTTTATAACCACCAGTTGTGCACACCAACCCAGAGGAACCACTGACCCTTGGGCCACATATTTCAAAATTGAAACTTTATAAATTTCATTTCATCAGAAATGGGTGATTAATATCAAAGAGCAGATTTCAAAGTATTACTTTATTTTCAGACTATGTAACAACCCCCCCACCCCGCGTCTGCAGTACCCCTAACGCAGGGCCCTGAAATTAACATTTTGGAAGATGCATCTTTCTTCATCATAAATATATACTTAGATCATTGGCATTATACCAAGGAGCAAAGGAAGATTTCCAAAGAATTCATGCGTTTTCACAATATAATTATTATAGGGCCCCACCCTAACACCAGAAACCCTGACCTTGGGGTCATGAAATTCACAAATTGGGAAGAAGCATCCTTCCTCATCATAACTATGTACATAGTTCACTGTAGGAGAAGATTTTCAAAGAATTTATGCATTTTCACTATATAATCAACAGAGCCCTGCCCTAACACCAGAACCCCTGACCCTGGGGCCATGAAATTCATAATTTTTGAAGAGGCAGACCTATTCAATATAACCATCTACTTGGTTAGTCTATTTCATATTCAGGAGAAGAGAAGAAGATTTTTTAAAGAATTAATGTATTTTCACTATATAAACAATTAAAGAGCCCCGCCCTAATACCAGAACCCCTCAGCCATAAGCTATGAAAATCACAATTTTAGAAGAGGCATTCTCGGTCATCATAACTATGTACTGAGTTTGTTTGTTTAATACCCTGGAGCAGAAAAGAAGATTTTCAAAGAATTAATGCATTTTCACTACATAACCAAAAGAGCCCCCCCCCAACACCTGACCCAGGGGCCATGAAATTCACAAATAGGGAAGAAGCATGCTTCATTATCATAACTATGTACATAGTTCTTTGTTAAGATATCCAAGTACAGAGGAGAAGATTTTTAAAGAATTTATGCATTTTCACTATATAATCAATAGAGTCCCGCCCTAATACCAGAACCCCTGACCCTGGGGCCATGAAATTCACAATTTTTGAAGAGGCAATCTTATTCAACATAACTATTTACTTGGTTAGCTTTTTTAATGCCCAGAAGCAGAGAAGAAAATTTTCAAAGTAACAATGCATTTTCACTATACAGTCTTTTTAGCCCCACCTTAGCAATAGCACCCCTGACCCTGGGGCCATGAATTTCACAATTGTGGTAGAGGACTCAATGCTGATTACAATTATGCCAACAGTTTGACTGCTTGATGTCTAGGAGCATAGAAGAAGATTTTTAAAGATTGCACTAATTTTAGTGATTTTGGCCCCACCCCCCAGGTCCCAGGGGGGCAGGGACCATGAAATTCACAACTTATGTTCCCCTTCACCCATAAATGCTGTGTGCCAAAATTGGTTGAAATTGGTTGAGCGGTTTCAGAGAAGAAGCCGAAAATGTTCAAATGTTAACGGACGATGCACGACAACAGACAACAACGGATAGCAATAGGTCACCTGAGTTTGCTCAGGTGACTTAAAAATCACCTGCTCTTAATTTATTTATTACACAGATGATTTAAAATTAAAATTTAAGTTAGATCTATTGCATGTGAAACCTTTCTCTTTTGTCAAACATCTGGTGCATCTAATCTTATTATTCCAGGCAACTTTTTTGTTGACCGTATAACACTATTTCTCTTAGACATGGCTACAAGTCCTATATGATTGCACCAAAATTGGCAAAAAGAGTAAAATGGAGTTCTTTTAAAATAAAAAATAGTGCATTATTAAATGCAATTTAAAAAAAAAGAAAGTGAGAACAAATATTTGCTTAACTCTGTGAGCTGGTAAAATCTGATGATTTATTCACTGAGTCAGAGATAGTATCTGTAAGCACCATGCTACTCGGAATTCCTTTTTCCAATTCTTCTTTTCTTGTTGTGTTCATGGATAAGCTTGCTGTAGTTGTGTTTGTGGATAAGCTTGCTGTAGTTGTGTTTGTGGATAAGCTTGCTGTAGCAGTGTTTGTGGATAAGCTTGCTGTAGCAGTGTTTGTGGATAAGCTTGCTGTAGCCGTGTTTGTGGATAAGCGTGCTGTAGTAGTGTTTGTGGATAAGCTTGTTGTAGTAGTGTTTGTGGATAAGCTTGCTGTAGTTGTGTTTGTGGATAAGCTTGCTGTAGCAGTGTTTGGGGATAAGCTTGCTGTAGCAGTGTTTGTGGATAAGCTTGCTATAGCAGTGTTTGTGGATAAGCTTGTTGTAGCAGTGTTTGTGGATAAGCTTGCTGTAGCAGTGTTTGTGGATAAGTTTGCTGTAGAAGTGTTTGTGGATAAGCTTGCTGTAGTTGTGTTTGTGGATAAGCTTGCTGTAGTTGTGTTTGTGGATAGGCTTGCTGAGAATCCATCACCACTTAAAAAACTATCAAAAAGTGGGTTGCTTTTTGTATTGTTAGATTCTGGGTCCGTGTTCGTAACTCCAAATGCCCGAGACCTATCTTGGAAGGGTCGGGGGTCTGTGACTCGAACATTAGGAAATCCCAAGTTTGTGTTTGTCATAGGGGACACAAAAGATGACGATGACAACACAGAAAAAGGGTGGTGGCCAATCACATCAAACTGTGCCATTTCTTTGTCATTTAGAGTAAATGACCGGGTAGAACTTTCAAAGTTTCTTCTGGAAGAATTGGAATTGGTATTCATAATATCATCATACTGGTTTTCTGTAGTCTGACCTAACATGTAATATCCTAAGCGTTGTTGTTTATCAGTGTCTCCAGCATCCAAATATCCACCATCAAGATTTTGTTCCTTGGTGATTGTTTCTTGGGATGTATCATTTTCATTATTTAATGATCTTTTGTCTGTTTTTAAACTTGAAGCTGCGATGCCTTGGTTCTCACTTATCCTATTTATACATGAATGTATAAACGTAAAATAAATGCAAGTTTATTAATAGAAATATATAGAATGAATGCCTTTAAAACATTAAAAAATCACTTAAGAATTACGAACCTCTCTGACATGATTCCCACTATGTCACAAATTGATGGTCTGCACGATCTATCGCTATGCCAACAAGGAATCATGACGTCATCATATAGCCAGCCGGGACACTTTTCTGGTTTTTCTGGTTTCTGTCCTTCATTAAGCACACCAAGTATCTGACAGAATAAGTTATATAAGGCCATTGTTTATAAAAAGCTAACTTTGATAAGTGAACATTTGCATTCTCCTATTGAAATACAGAAACATCAACAGTGTATACAGTGGTATAGGATGAAGAAAGTTCCAGAATATAATAATAAAACGAGAAATGTCGATTGATTATGAATAAGGAATTTAGGTTCGTTATTCATACAATATCAAGTAGAACTATAGTTAAATTCAAAGATGTATAAAAGGAATATTAAGATATAGAACAGTAACTGTGTTCAAAAGTCCATTGAACTGTAAAAATAGGTAGCAGCGCAAACATGAACTTTTAAAAACATCAGAGGTGGGATTAGGAGCCACGGAGGAGTAAACATTCATTGTCGACGAGTCACACCGCCACATGCCCCTTGTTATAATCGACAAACGAAAAAAAAAACGTAGACAATTCAGAGTGACAATAGCCTAACAACAATTAGTATGAACTACTTCACTCAAACAGACGAGACGTTCCTCAATAATAAATGATTTTTTCTAATATTTTGTCCTTGAAGAATTGCTACTTTAACATGTTTACTCATAAAAAATTGAGATACCTTACCAGGCATTTGTGCAAGATACCAGAGGCAGGCGCGGATCTAGGATTTGGAGTTAGGGGGGCGCCAAAATTAGGCAAGGGGTCTGGGGGCCGCCTTGAGGCAAAGCCCTGGTGGGGGCCCAGGGGGCGAAGCCCCCGGAAGCTCCTGGATTCCAGAGATTTTGAAGGGTTAAAATGAGGTCTACCAAAGCCCTGGTGGGGGCCCAGGGGGTGAAGCCCCCGGAAGCTCCTGGATTCTAGAGATTTTGAAGGGTGAAAATGAGGTCTACCAAGTAGACATATTTGATTTACGCTAACTTTGACAATTTTAGGGGGGGGGGCGCGCGCCGGGTGCGCCCCCCCCCTAAAATCCGCCACTGAGAGGATAGCATTTCTTATACAATCCTTTAGGAAAAAAACTTCGTTTGCCAAAAATTACATTTTCAGTGTTTCACATTTTTAAAAACAATTAGAAACCGGTTTAGAGATCAAAAAGTAATTAAAATTTTGTATATTTTTCATACATTATTAAGATGTACAAAACAGATATTTTGGGAACGTATCGTCTGACCTTAATTAGTGATAGACTGTATTTTCTGAACAGGTCATGATACCGACAATAGAATTTGCGAAATGTTTACTTTATACAAGACTTGATATAATTGTTTCATCAACTTGTTTTTCAATAGTTTGTCGCGTTTTCGAAAATTATTTGTTTCTTTTGCATCTTCACTGTATCGAATAAACCCGATCATGCAGGAGATAAGGGGTATTGCAACAAAAGTAAGGTATAGGCTGGCGATAGAAATGTTGAAGTCTTCACGTTTATCAAAATGTCTTGTAATTAGTTTACTATTGAGGCCTTTTTCTGGTAAATATCCAAATAAAACTTTTCAGCAAATGCAGTCTCATTGGGTCAACTACTGATGGACGTTTTCATACTAATTGTTAGGCCATTGTTGATTTGTCTACAGATTTTTCCGTTATTCCTAATCATGATAAGGGGCACATGGTGGATGTGACCGGTCGACAGGGAATGTTTACTCCTCCATGGCACCTGATCGCGTCTCTGATGCTTTAGAGGTCCGTGTTTGCTCTGCTCCAGATTATTTTTGTTTGAATGGATTTTGAGCCTAAATAATTGCCGAAAGTTATCTTCATATTTCATGTATCAGAATTTATGATATCTTATTTCGTTATCCTCGTTTTCTTATCATTTTAACTATTGAGCATCTATATTTGCTGGTAGACAGTCTGTTCCCCAGGATATACTTGTTCGTAGAAATTCCAAGTAACTTTTGGACAATTCGAAATCACAAGATTTTAATAAAATCAACAGCTTAAAAACTTACGACTTTTCAACTTAATACACAACCATTCCACACGATAAATTTAAGTCCAGGCTTTTTGATATCATTGACAGCTGGGGGGTTTTTTCAATAAAAATGAAACTCGTAAATTTACTTACTTTGTCATTGGTCATTTGCAAAATTATTTTATTAAAAACATTTTGAGTGTACATTCAAGTACTCTGAAGATGACATTAAAAAGATGCTTGAGTTTCTGATTGACAACATCTATGTTGTTTTTGGAGACCAGGTTATCCAACAATCTATTGGAATTCCCATGGCCATCAATTGCACCCCGTTACTAGCAGACCTATTTTTGTATTCATATGAAGCAGAATTTGTCCAAAATCTTGTACGTAAAAGGAAGAAAACACTTACTGTGACCTTTAACTCGACATTTAGATACCAGGTATATCGACGGTGCATTGTCAATTAACAGTGGTAATTTCCATTTTTATGTTGATACAGTATATCCTGGTGAGCTTGAGATAAAAGACACCACAAAGTCTGACACATCTGTTTCACACTTGGATATTTTACTTGAAAAAGACGTTAATGGTAATCTAACAACCAAGCTCCATGATAAACGTGATGAATTTAACTTTACAATCGTCAACTGTCCTTTACATATGAAGCAGTATACCTTCATCACCTGCATACGGAATTTATATTTTTCAGTTTATTCGAAATGCAAATGAATTCTCTACGTATGAACAATTTCAAAATGATTGACAAGCAAGCTGATGAAACAAGAATATCAGCAGTCTAGTTGAAAGTCATCATTTCGTAAACTCTATGGTCGATACAATGACCATGTCAGAAAATAGAGTTTTCATTGAGTCAATTGCTGACTGACATTTTTCATACTGATTGTTAGTCTATTATTTATATTTCTGAATTGACGACGGATTTTTACGTTATTTCCCGATCATGACAAGGAGCACAGTGCGGGTGTGACCGGTCGGCAGGGGATGCTCACTCCTCCATGGCACCTGATCCCACCTCCAATGTTTTGGAAATCCATGTTTGCTCTGCTCCTATTTTGTATTGTTTTATGGACTTTTGATCTTGAATACTATTCGTTATCTCCAAAGGTTTCATTGTTGCTCGATATATAAGTTCTACTATTTATATTGTAAAGATAAATATATATCAATTTGTACAATCTACGTAGAGTTTAAAAGGGGCACAATCCTTGGCATAATGGTTGGTGTCCCTCGGATTCTTCTTCATCACAATTTAACGTTGCGGGTTCGAATCGCACTGTGGGATGTGGAGACTGGTCCTTCGGATGAGAGCGTATAAACTGAGGCCCCGTGTCGCAGGAGTGCAGGCACGAAAAAGATCCCTCACTGCTCAATGGCCCTGAGTGCCGAGTATAGAACAAAATTTGTAGTTCTCCACCGGCAAGTGGTGGCGTCTCCATATGAGTAAAATATTCTCGAGAGGGACGTTAAACAACATACAATCAATCAATCAATTATAAAACAATTTGCTGTGACCTTCAACTCGACAAATAGCTGTACAGTATATAGACGACATATGATTAATTAACGATAGCTACATTCATTCATATGTCGATTCGATATATCCCAGTTAACCTGAAATTGAAAACACCACTGAAACGGAATCTGTTTCATATTTGGATGTTTTATTGACTATAGAAGACAAGGGCCGACTTGAACAACTAAATTGTATGACGAGATGATTTCAAATTTTTCATCATCAACTTTCCTTATTTATGTAATATGAAAATAATATTACCCGATCATGACAAGGAGAACACGGGGTGTGACCGGTCGACAGGGTATGCTTACTCCTTCATGACACATTATTCACTGATGCTTTAGATGTCCTTGTTTACTTTACTCTTTATTTGTACTGTTTGAATGGATTTTTGCTCTTTATCTCCATATATTTCATGTAGTAATACCAGTATCTCGCTATCACCTGTATATGGTTATTTTTGTTCATCTCCAAACTTATCCAATACTAAGGAGCATGATCCAAATACTGTACGCTCTTAAACCGACGTAGGCTACTGACAGATAAATTGAGGTTTCAGTGATTTCAATAACTTTGTTTTAAGTCCGCAAGTTGTAATTTTCATGGTCGTAATAATGACCTTGTCAGCGAATATTACCTATTATTTGGTCGTATTTTGGCTGACATAATTATTTCATACCAATTGTCAGGCCTTTGTTTTTATACAGAATTTGACTACGGAATGGTCTGTCTACCTGGTCAGGTGTGACCGGTCGACAGGGAATATATACTACTTCTTTAGCACCTGATCCATTCTCTGCAATTTCTGCTGGTTCGTGTTTATAACCTGTTCACAGATTTAATATTTGTATTGTTTTAAGATTTTTGTAGATCAGCCATTCCGCTTTTTCTTCACCTTTTTCATTTTACTGGGTTTTTTTTCTGGTAAAAAAAAATCAAGGAAGGTGGATATATGCCTGGAATACTTTTTGGACAATTTGAAATCACAAGACTGTACCAAAAGGACATACGCTAGGTACCTTACCTACTACTTTTCAAGATATTCTTAATTTAAGATTATAGTGCCATTAGATGTTCATTGACAAAAAATTAGCATGCCTTACCAGGGGTTTTTGGAAGATATTTTTACATTATTCAAAGAAGAATACACAAAAATTACAATACATTATTTCCAGATTTTTTCCCATCACAATTTGTTTTAGAAGAGGTGTATAAATCCATATATATAGACATTAAAAGTATTGCATACAGGTCCTTCCTTTAGTGGAATTCTTCAACTCCAGGAAGAGCCAAATAAAATTCAAACTACATTGAGTATGACCTTAAAAACTTACGACTTTTCAACTTTATATACAACCATTCCCCACGATAAATTAAAGTCCATCCTTTTTTCATATCATTGACAGCTGTTTTTTCAATAAAAATGGAACTCGTGAATTCACTTACCTTGTCATTGATCATTTGCAAAATTATTTTGTTAGAAACATTCTGATTGTACACACAAGCACTCTGAAGTTGACATCAACAAGATGCTTGAGATTCTGATTGACAATATCGTATGTTGTATTTGGAGACCAGGTCCCGTTACTAGCAGACCTATTTTTGTATTCATATGAAGCAGAATTTGTGCGAAATCGTATGCATGAAAAGAAGAAAACACTTGCTGTGGCCTTCATCTCGACATTTAGATATATCGACGACGTATTGTCCATTAACAATGGTAATTTTCGTTCTTATGTTGATATGATATATCCTGGTGAGCTTGAGATAAAAGACACCACAAAGTCTGACACATTTGCTTTATATTTGGAAATTTTAGTTGTAAAAAAACGTAAACGGTGAACTAACAACCAAGCTCTATGACAAACGTGATGACATGATCTTTTCTATCGTCAACTTCCCTTACTTATGTAGCTACATGTATATACATGTACATTCACGAATATCACCTGCATACGGAGTTTATGTATTTCAGTTTATTCGATACGCAAGAGCATGCTCTAAGAACATCAGCATTCTCGTTTAAAGTCATCAATTCGTAAGTTCTATGGTCGATACAATGACCTTGTCAGCAAATAAATTTATCATTGAGTCAAATGCTGAGTGACGTTTTTCATACTAATTATTAGTTCATTATTTATACACTGAATATTGACGACGGATTTTTTCCGTTATTTCCCGATCGTGACAAGGAATACACGGCGGGTGTATCCCATCTGATCCCACCTCCAATGTTTTGGAGGTCTGTGTTTGTTCTAATCCTATTTCATATTGTTTTATAGACTTTTGATTTTGAATACTGATCGTTATCTCCATATGTTTCATTGTAAATATACCGATTTGTGGTAACTACATGCACAAATATTTAATAATATTCAAAGCATATATTTCATATATATGTGCTGATCATACCTCAGATTTATAATTTCGGCCAAAGGGAACTGTTTGAAGTTCGCCATGCCCGGAGAATGCCATATAAACTTGATAAAACAACATCGCCATCGTGTACACGTCACTTCCTGCAGATAGTTCTCCAAAAGCTATCACCTCCCTCGGGATCCTGTGTAGATGGATTGGATTTATAATGTGGATAAACTTTGAAAAAGGGAGCTTTTGATCTTAGATAACTACCAAATCTAAGTACATGTATCTGGTTATGAGAAGTTATGCTTTCCATTAATGTATCGGCTTCTAGATCGAGGTATTCCTTAGTTGCAGAACTGTAGCTTTAAGGTAGTTCTGCAGCCAGGTATTCCTCTGACTTAACGTACAGAAAAATAACATCAAAAGTCAACAGTAAAAGAGGTAGAGTGTCTTACCAAAATATCATGTCCTCAAATCTGTGGGAGACATGAACACTTCCTTGATTTATATCGGGAGATTCAGGTAGGCGTACCATTGTGCCTAATTTTATTAGAAACGCCTACAAAAAGAAATATATTTAATTTTCGTAATATTCTTCAGCACACTTTGAGGTGTGTGATAGAAAGACTCATAAAATACAATTTTACTGATAAGTGAACATAAAAAGAAAAGACAAAGAAGTCTGTTCTACGAGCTAGTCACATCTCAAACGTCATATGATTTTTTTTTAAATTCATCGCCTGTAAGCTTACTTATAAGTGTTAAACATGATAATTTCAATTGTCCTATTAATTCTTTTTAATTTCTAAAAACGTTCTTCCTTACCCTATATTGGTTTTCCTGTTGTTGAATATATATATTCTTTGCTGTCAGGGCAACCATCACCCATCTCTTTGCATGCATTCTCTGAACAAGCTGTGCCACAGCTAGAAGCATTTTAGCACATGAATGTTGAGACACATTGCCTTTCAATAATTCCAGAATATTAACAGCTTTTGGGTATTTGTATGTCTAATGAAAAAAGTTAAGGTTTCAATGTACAACATTATAATACAGAAAATAATTTAAGACATTCAAGACATGCACTGGAAACTTTTATAATGACCATATGTTTCACAGTAGAATTGAAATACTGTCTTCTATAATATAAATACTTAACTTACTAAAACATTTGCTATTCCTTGTCCAGTCATGTTCTTCTTTTCACGAGAGAGAGTATTAGCAATGATCCCCATTTTCTCACTGAAATCAGGACTCATAGCGGGGAGGATTTTCTCGCAGAATTCCACAGTGACTTGCTCTTCGATGCGTAGGTATTCTCCCTGAAAAGGTTTGTCAAATCGTATACACGAAGATCTCAAAAAATATTTACAATATGTTTGACTTATTCCAAGAAAAACAGGAAATTGGATCAATAATATGTTCCAATATTTTTTTTTTATTCTTACAGAAAAGAAAGATATTTTAACAAAATGAAAGAAAAAGTGAGTAAGCTCACATACCCCACGCTCCCCCAAAACTCAAAGTGCTGAAAATCCTGGAAAAAATGAAAGAATCGGAATTTCCCGGTAATATACACATCTACAAATTGTGTCCTAAATATCTGCAGAGTTTGATGAAATTCTGTGCAGCGGCTTCTGAGGAGTTGTGCTGACAAACTGTTCACCACTATATTCAAGATATCCCCCAAAATCTAAGTTGTAAAGTGCCGAAATTCCCAGAAAAATAAAGGAATCGGAATTTCCTGGTAAAATGCACATCTATACATTGTGTCCTAAATATCTGCAAAGTCTGACGAAATTCTGTGCAGCGGTTTATGAGGGGTCGCGCTGACAAAATGTTCATCTGTAATTTCAAGGTATGGCCAAAAATCTAATTTGAAAAGTGCCAAAATTCCCAGAAAAATTAAGGAATCGGAATTTCCTGGTAATATGCATATCTACACACTGTGTCCTAAATACCTCCAAAGTTTGACGAAAATCTGTGCAGCGGTTTATGAGGAGTTGCGCTGACAAAATGTTTATCTCTATATTCAAGGTATGGCCAAAAATCTAATTTGAAAAGTGCCAAAATTCCCAGAAAAAATAAAGGAATCGGAATTTCCTGGTAATACTCTAGTATGCACATTTACACATTGTGTCCTAAATATCTCCAAAGTTTGACGAAATTCTGTGCAGTGGTTTATGAGGAGTTGCGCTGACAAACTATTCATCTCTATATAAAAGGTATGGCCAAAACCTAAGTTTTTAGTGCGGAAATTCCCGGAAAAAATAAAGTAATAGGAATTTCCTGGTAATATGCACATCTACATATTGTGTCCTAAATATCTGCAAAGTTTGACGAAATTCTGTGCAGCGGTTTATGAGGAGTTGCGCTGACAAACTGTTCATCTCTATATTCAAAGTATGGCCAAATGCTTAAGTTAAAAAGTGCGGAAATTCCCGGGAAAAAAATGGAATCGGAATTTCCTGGTAATATGCACATCTACACATTGTGTCCTATATACCTGCAAAGTTTGACGAAAATCTGTGCAGCGGTTTATGAGGAGTTGCGCTGACAAAATGTTTATCTCTATATTCAAGGTATGGCCAAAAATCTAATTTGAAAAGTGCCAAAATTCCCAGAAAAAATAAAGGAATCGGAATTTCCTGGTAATATGCACATTTACACATTGTGTCCTAAATATCTCCAAAGTTTGACGAAATTCTGTGCAGTGGTTTATGAGGAGTTGCGCTGACAAACTATTCATCTCTATATAAAAGGTATGGCCAAAACCTAAGTTTTTAGTGCGGAAATTCCTGGAAAAAATAAAGTAATAGGAATTTCCTGGTAATATGCACATCTACATATTGTGTCCTAAATATCTGCAAAGTTTGACGAAATTCTGTGCAGCGGTTTATGAGGAGTTGCGCTGACAAACTGTTCATCTCTATATTCAAAGTATGGCCAAATGCTTAAGTTAAAAAGTGCGGAAATTCCCGGGAAAAAATGATGGAATCGGAATTTCCTGGTAATATGCACATCTACACATTGTGTCCTAAATACCTGCAAAGTTTGACGAAATTCTGTGCAGCGGTTTATGGCGAGTTGCGCTGACAAACTGTTCATCTCTATATTCAAGGTATGGCCAAATGCCCAAGTTAAAAAGTGCGAAAATTCCCGGAAAAAATAATGGAATCGGAATTTCCTGGTAATATGCACATCTACACATTGTGTCCTATATACCTGCAAAGTTTGACGAAATTCTGTGCAGCGGTTTATGAGGAGTTGCGCTGACAAAAAAAGGACTGACTGACACTCTGACTGACACTCTGACGGACAGGTCAAAAACATAATACCTCACGCAACTAGTTGCGTGGGGTATAATTAATCTCTTTTCAGAATTAATTTCTTTTATGACAATTTGAAATTAATAATAAAAAAACCAGAAAAAAACAGTAAAAAACAAAACGGTATTTACTGCGTCCTCGACGAGTGAATTATGCAATGTTTTGAGATCTTCGGGGCACAAAACAGAAGCACGTTTATTAACAGGGATTGTAGGATGCGACATACTTTGGCGTCTGATCTCAATAACAGTTTCCCTGATATCTACAACATTAATTGTTTCTTTTATATATCTTTTAAAACTTTCTGTAACGATTAATGATTTTATTTATCATTTCAATCAATAATAGTTTCTTTTTTCTTTTATTATTTGAATATACGATGTAACCAACATAAATTTTCAGCTAGTAGACTATCAGTACTTACTTTCTTTTTTCTCTAGGCTTTTCTCTTTGAGCTTTCTTATGAACGGTGATATGCCCTGAAAGCCCAATAAAAATACAACAATAATACCTAAGAAAACCCAACATTTTTTTATTCTTCGAAAACTTTTCTATCTTTAAGTTTATTTTTTAAGTAAAGCATCGAGCTGAAATTAAAATAGTCGTTAATAACGTACCCTCTCGGGTTCATGACCTCGTTCCTTTTGACGCTCACTAAGATGAGGGGGGTCGGAAGTTTCTTCATTTGCTTCAACAGAAATATTTCCCATTTTTATCACAGTTCAATCAAAATATCTCTAAAATATGTCTCATTCAATGAAATAGTTCGAATAGATAAAATGATATTTTTCTTTCCCTTTCCCCATTTGAAAAGAATAGGTCAATTAAAAACATAAATTTCAACGATAAAAATATTTCTTTTTGTTTTATATTACGAAATATTTATGTTGTTTTCATGGCAAAAAAAGTATTTTAACAGTCAAAGTTCTGCAAAGTCCACCAAGTACCTGCACCTTTATATAAAAACAAGAACACAGCTTATTTATGGGATTTCATATTTCTTATTGAATTGGATTTGGAAAAAAAATTATATACGGGTCGGCAGGGGATGCTTATTTGTGCAAGGCATCTGATCCACCTTTGATGTCAGAGGTCCCTGTAGGTTCTCCGAAGGTCAATGTTGTGTGATGAATAATCCCAAATATCTGTCCGACCAAAACGCATAATAAATACCAGTATCACAATGGTACTATGTAATGTAGCTTCTTTGAAAGTTTAAACGGGAGTATAAATATATGGAACTGTTCGCTTTCATAAACAAAGTGCACATGCATATGGCTCTGAATTATCAATATGAAAAATGGAGATAACAAACAGGATAGGGGGGGGGGGTGTACGTTCGAACTTTAGAACCTCAATTTTCTCCAAACACCAAAACTTTACCCATTTTTAACTTACACTGCGAGGTGTCTGTGGAAAGTGGGGGGGGGGGGGGGCTAAATCTTTGAAACAAGATTCAATGTCTATAGTAAGTATATATTTGGAAAAAATGTGGGGGTATGAAAATCGTCCCCATTCCGACGCCTAGCTATGCTGTACTGGCTACCAAATTCTAATGAAAACAATTAATTTTACTGATAACTAGTATTTAAATCTCTTTGCAATACGAATAGACTAAAATCAGAACAAGTCTTTCTGTGTACGAAACATACCTACTGCTCGTTTATCCCTTAACCTCCTGAGCTCTTTCAAGAGTTCCTCGGCAGACGGCCTGTCTTTTGGGTCTGTCCTCCAACAAGAGATTGCTAACTTGTGGTAGTCATAGGGAATACAGGGCCACCGGTGAGGGGATATGTCTCCCGATAATACCTGGATGTTTTCAGAGTCGTATATATAATATTTGAAAATGTAGCAATTTTCATCATCACAGTTTGAAAATTTGTTTGCACCCAAGTTTTGCTGTTCATGTGCCACATAAAAAAAATACATACCCCTGATATGATATCATCGGTGGTAGAGCTGTAATGATCTGTAAATGGTTCACATCCGTACGTGAACAGCTCGTGGATTACGTGACCAAACATCCAAATATCGGATCTGGCGTCATAGCAATCTAAAAGGATTGACTCAACAGCCGACCAACGAATAGGAATGCCATCTCCCTGCATATCTGTCATCTTACCTGCTACCTGATCACAACTCGCTGTCATGCTGAAGTCTGTTTGACATGCAAGATTCAAATCATACAAAACGGCTGCATCCTCTTCGGTTTCTGAGAATCGTGCAAGATGAAAGCACCGAAGTGTGACATCACGATGGATGATTTTTTTGCCATGCAAGTAATTGATGGCGGTCAGCATTTCAATCAAACGATTATTTAACCAAAGCACAGGAAATTTTGTTTTTTGTCCTCGTATTTCTAGAAGTTTTTCCAATATTTCTGTTCTGTGGTTCTCTTTTACATAGAAAGGAAGTGAATTCTTTAGGACACTGTAGGCCAGTAATCTAACAACGTTGATATGAGTTTCACCATTTTGTAATCCTAAAAGAATTTTAAAATCATTTTCTAGCATGTCGTTCTTTATCTTACATTCCTTCTTTGTTACCTGAAGAGAACTCATTGATATGCCTGGAACAAGTATGGCAATGCTTGCATCGCACTTGTTGATGCGCCCTGGACAAATAGACCAATATGAGTGATCACTCTTTTTTGGCAAAATTTCCCTTTTTGTATGATGGAAGACTAAATCAGTGACGTGGCTTTGAATGTACGTTTCTGTAAATTCCAGCAATGATCCCTCAGAGATGTTGAGACATTGGATGATGCTATTGACAAGGTGTTTGTCACCCGAGAAGAGGTGACTGGAGAGTTCCTGTGGGAGAGGAAGAAAACTCTTGTGTCCTGACATCCTTCTCCAGCCGATTTCGGCAACCTTCAAAACGTCGTCTTTCTCTCCCTTAGCTAAAGACAAAACAGGACCATTGTCAATCTGTATTAAATTTCCTCAATGAATAAAACTTAATCTTATTTTAAAAGGGCCAAAATTTAGGAACCGCGTTCTTTCAACTAGGGGTGGGGTTATTTCATAAAAAATATTATGAATTCTGTGAAACATATGGAGATATCGAACAATATTCAAGATCAGAGCAAACACGGACCTCCTAATTATCAGAAATGGGATCAGGTGCCATGGAGGAGGTGGGCCAAACATGAAAAAGATTTTTTTTTAAAGTGGACTTGGACTTTGTCAGAATGGATTAAAAATCTTCGATGGATGTTAAAATCTCAGTTCTATCGGAAACCCCATGGGGTACTTGTTGTTCCCCATGATTAATAGAAGCAGGGTTTATTCCAGAACTTGTGCCTCAGAAGAAGACACCTGCTCCGTTCCAATGACCTTGCCAGCATGTTCGATTTATCACTAAGTCAAGTGCTGGCTGACTTTTTTTAAATACTTATTGTTATACTATTATTTTCACATTCACTTGTCTTCGGATTTTTCCGTGTTTCCAATCAAGACAAAGAGCAAATAGCAGTTATGACCGATCGACAGGGGATGCTTACTTCTCTGGAGGACCTGATCCAACCTCCTGTGACTTTAGTGGTCCCAATTTGCTCTGGGTACGTTTTGAATTGTTTTTATGAACAAGGTTGATGCTTATGTAGGGACAGGAGAAAGACAATTATGACGGATCGAGAAAACTTTCTTCCCCGAGAGAATAGGTCCTCAGTACCCCCTTGCTTGTCGTAAAAGGCGACTTAATGGGGCGGTCCTTCGGATGAGACCGTATAAACCGAGGCCCCGTGTCGCAGCAGGTGTGGCACGATAAAGATCTCTCCCTGCTCAAAGGCCATGAGTGCCGAGCATAGGCCTAAATTTGCAGCCCTTCACCGGCAATGGTGACGTCTCCATATCAGTGAAATATTCTGGAGAGGGACGTAAAACAGTACACAATCAATCAATCCTTTTTATTCGAATCGGGCGTAGCTTTTAGTTGCTACTTACAATGACAAAGAAACGCACCAATTCCACGTAAGGTTATCTCGGCCAAGACATGGTGCTGTACCTCTGACCACTTCTTATCGGGTTTCTTCTGGAGAAACAACTGTCCTATAAACCTTGAGAATTGTTCATGAACCGAAGCATTGTTCCTCAGCTGAAATGTTTATAGCAAACAGATTATGGTGGCTTTCATCATTCGGTGTTAACAGAATTAATGCTTCTTTAACATAATTTCAACTAATATCACACCTTGTAAAAATTATAAAACATAATTTTCTCCTTGTCGAAGAATGCAACTCTTGACGAAAAGAAAATACTACAGGGAAAGTTTTTAACACCTGCAAGAATAGAACTTGTATACAATCTGCAATAAAATCATCGATTTAGTCTATTTTAAAGGCCGGAGGAAAATGACCTGCAATTATTATAAGTTTTTGTAATCTTCATGAACTTCCGACAAAATAATTGTCACGGTGATACCGTGCATAATTCATCAGTATCTACTCATTTTAAGTATCGTCTCGTCAAATGTTTTCAGATAGCCGTCTGTCTTACCTTTAGCAGAAAAGCGAACAACACCATGAATTGTTCGTTAAAGGACTGATTTTCTACACAGCGTAAGTGTTCAGCATGTTCTTTTGAGTAAAAAGCGTCCTCCCATCTTTCGAAAATGACACGAGAATGTCTACTTATCTGAAAGTCAGAAGAAAGAGCCCCGGCAAATACGGATACGCATTTTAATCCAGCGAAATTACGTGGCTGAGTCTTCTTTAGTTTCCTCTTTAAACTCAGTCTTGTATACAACTCATCAATTCTCTTGCATATCCCACAAACAATGCTTTCAATGTTTTTCTTTTCATTGTTTCGAAAACAATACTGTAGCATAGAAATTGCCATGATGTCTATTATCGGTAAACATGATTCGTACCACATTTCTAAATCCTCTTCAACTGTATCTCTGAGAAATCCCTTCGTGAAATTTGTCAGGCAGCTTGTTACATCGCCAAAGGGCATAATTGAAATATCTACTCTGCTGATTATGCATTTCAGTTTGCCAATTATGAATTTCTGAAATTGCTTGTCTTTACATACCAATAGTCTTGAGAGTTCTGAAATATTTTTTGTTTTTATCAAACGCGGAACGATATGAGTGCGAGTTCTTTGTATTAAGCCTTGTAATTCTACATCAGTTAGCCTTTCGCATTTTTCTTCAAAGTCTGAAACTTGTTCCGTTTTATCTAAAAGAGAGATAATTCTAATTTTTTTAATTACCAATGACATAGAATGCTCTCCTAATTTCTAATTAATAACTTGAGAAAATGCTATTTTATTCCAGTATTGCAATTAAACTTATAACCTTACATTTAAAATAACGAAAACTAAATTCTAAAACATGTTTTTATTGATAAAATATTATTAATTTGATGATGACATACCTTCAGAGGAGACCAGACTATGTAATATTCTGGGTTCATTAACTACCGTCTTCTGATAACTCTCCGCACTGACGAAATAGTCCGTGGTGTAAGGAGCAATAGAGGTATATGTTGTAGTATTGAAGCTGGAATCTTTGGTTGTGTTGCCAGAATTGTCCATTTTATAGCTGGATCCTGGGAGAAGCAAACTCTTTTCTGTGGAATTAAACA